ACAAAATGTTCAAGTGAATTATACTTAACATTGCTTTAAATACTCTAAAACTCAAAAGGATGAAAATTGGTAATCTGTTTACACGGTGTTCGTTGTTTTAATACAAAGCTGATTATTCACAAATGGTTCACGGGGTTACCGTATAACACAAAACAACACTTCATATACATCTCACAACACTATTTTAAAACAGAGAAATACATCATATATATACTGAACAATACTCCTTTAACACAAAGCAATACTTCTTATATATATGCCGAATATTACTCATTTATACAAAAATAACATTATTATATATCTAACACTCTTAATCAAACAGCACTGTTCACTGTATATTTGAAAAATGTAAATAAAATTAATCTAATGTTCTTTGCATTATCATTTATGGCGGGAACCAGGTATAAATACTTGAGTTTGGGTTAAATTGGATTCCTTGGTGTTTAGCTTATAAAACTTGAAATTGTTGTGTTAAATGTGCTTATAGAATTTTTGAATAGTGGAAAAAAAACTTTTCTCGAGTTCGATTTCTAACATGAAATTAGTCAGACAAATGACTTGAGTTTCCCAAAAATAGCAGGCAGAGTTAAAATATCCAAATCGTTAGTTAGCAATGCTTCAAGAAACTAAAATTGTTATCTCTAGCAGCGTAAAATCGACAATAGATGCTACTTATTCTTGTTACTGAGACACGAAGAAGAGCTTTTAGAACAGTGTGGTTATAAATATTAGATTGATTACTAAAATGACAAAATCTCATGCAGTCTACATGAATAGTTTTTGAGATATTACATCGCATAATGTGATTAATATTATAATTTTCACTAGAAATGAATATATATATATATATATAACTATTTCAATCAGACTTTGGCTAACACGTCGCTTCAATCGTTACAGATAACAAAATACCAAACTCGATTGCAAATGCTCTTATCACATTCGTCTTAGTCATCCCATTAGGACTTCAAACCTGAGGTCTATAGGTTCATCATTTACAATTGACCTACACCACTCATTCTTTTTAACAGTTCAAGTGTTTTACACTCTAATAACACAGGCCTACGAATTTAAACTTCATAAAAGTTGTTTTAGTTTTAATAACTGATTTTCCATAATTCAGCTACGCAGATTTCGACAATAATATTCTTTTTTTTATCACGTAAGGATTTTTTACAAATTGAGTAGAAAAAACTCTTACA